TAAATAAACTAGTTGGAAAAAATACCACCTATACTCTATAGCAATACCTAAAACTTGCAAAAAGCAGATTTTAAAATTTCCTTTTAGTTTAGTGGGAATTAATTTTTTTCTAAATAATCAGTCTTATGGACTTCTATTACCTAAAATGATTTTTTTTTTCTTTATTTTTATCTCTGTCAATCTTGCTGCATTCTATGGCATTCACACAGTATTCTGGTGTAGATGGTACATGGTCCCCCCCCCTTTTGCAAATTACTAATGACAATAACTGCACATGATTGTAGAAGTATTGTGGGTCATCACAGGATTTGCAGTGCCTAACCTGACCACATGAGGTATTTTATATGTATAAACAACTGCTGCAGCTGTGATTGAGAATTGTTTCTTAGCATATTATGTCTATTAAATACAAAAATAACATTTACCACTAGTTGTGTCCCATAAGTGTGTGATGAGGGCGAATATCTGTGAAATGGTGTCGTGGAGGTAGGAGGTGGTAACATTTTGTCTCCCAGAGTCCCAGTCTTGGCAATCAACTAATGGGTAAACAGAATTGCCCGCTAGCTACCAGAGAATGCCAAAATAAATTGTAAAAAAAAAAAGTATATTTGCATCGAAGCGGGATGTGGAGGGGTGGGGGGTTAGAGATTTTGTTATAACTCGTTTATTTTTATGTATTTAACAAAAATATTACACCACGGGATTGCCAAAGCCTACTACATTACAGGAGATTTTTCTTCTTCAAAATTTTGTGTATTTTTAAAAAATATTCATCGTGATGGCCCCATTAAGGTTTGAGTTAGATTTAGACAGAATGCCAGGCCACATATCAGTTGTGTATATAATGAAGAGCATAGGGCCTAGAACACAACCCCGAGGAACCCACAAGACACACACAGGAATATGGGCTAAAACTACCATCAACATGAACATGATGCTGTCTACCAGTAGAAAATTCAATTGACATCTTAAAATTTACTACCAACACCAACAGACTGCAACTTAAATATCAAATCCTTGTGATTGTGTCAAAGGAAGCACTAAAATCCAGAGATAAACCTTGACTCATGACCCCTATCTAAACCTGATTGCATTTCATGTACCAAATTCAGCAATGCTCCATTGCAGGCGAGTCCCTTTCTAACACCAAATAGTCTCTATCGAAGAAATGGTCTCAAACCTTACATAAAATTGGGGTAATTAAAATGGGACTACAGTCAGTAGGTGAAGACCATAGTGTCTGCAGCACTCTGAAAATTACCCTTGACAAAATTCAATGGAAGCGTCATTGGGGTCTACTCCACATAAACATATACACGTGTCCATGCATGAATGTGTGGTATATGCATATACACATACAAACATGGGTATGCATGCATGCATTCGTGTGTGTGTGTGTGTGTGTGTGTGTGTGTGTGTGTGTGTGTGTGTGTGTGTGTGTGTGTGTGTGTGTGTGTGTGTGTGTGTGTGTGTGTGTGTGTGTGTGTGTGTGTGTGTGTGTGTGTGTGTGTGTGTGTGTGTGTGTGTGTGTGTGTGTGTGTGTGTGTGTGTGTGTGTGTGTGTGTGTGTGTGTGTGTGTGTGTGTGTGTGTGTGTGTGTGTGTGTGTGTGTGTGTGTGTGTGTGTGTGTGTGTGTGTGTGTGTGTGTGTGGTGTGTGTGTGTGTGTGTGTGTGTGTGTGTGTGTGTGTGTGTGTGTGTGTGTGTGTGTGTGTGTGTGTGTGTGTGTGTGTGTGTGTGTGTGTGTGTGTGTGTGTGTGTGTGTGTGTGTGTGTGTGTGTGTGTGTGTGTGTGTGTGTGTGTGTGTGTGTGTGTGTGTGTGTGTGTGTGTGTGTGTGTGTGTGTGTGTGTGTGTGGTGTGGTGTGTGTGTGTGTGTGGTGTGTGTGGTGTGTGTGTGTGTGTGTGTGTGTGTGGTGTGTGTGTGTGTGTGTGTGTGGTGTGTGTGTGTGTGTGTGTGTGTGTGTGTGTGTGTGTGTGTGTGTGGTGTGTGTGTGTGTGTGTGTGTGTGTGTGTGTGTGTGTGTGTGTGTGTGTGTGTGTGTGTGTGTGTGTGTGTGTGTGTGTGTGTGTGTGTGTGTGTGTGTGTGTGTGTGTGTGTGTGTGTGTGTGTGTGTGTGTGTGTGTGTGTGTGTGTGTGTGTGTGTGTGTGGTGTGTGTGTGTGTGTGTGTGTGTGTGTGTGTGTGTGTGTGTGTGTGTGTGTGTGTGTGTGTGTGTGTGTGGTGTGTGTGTGTGTGTGTGTGTGGTGTGTGTGGTGTGTGTGTGTGTGTGTGTGTGTGTGTGTGTGTGTGTGTGTGTGTGTGTGTGTGTGTGTGTGTGTGTGAGTGTGTGTGTGTGTGTGTGAATGTGAGTGTGAGTGAGTGT